AAACATTAGTTTACTTTATCGTCGATAAGTGTGCGCAAAATCACGAGCAAAGAAGACGTTAAATATTAGTAAAAAGAAGAGGAAAAAAAGAAGATGAGGCAAATGAGAGAGAGAGTGAGAGAGAGGGAGAGAGAGAGAGAAATAACAAAAAGAGATTGCGAAAACACTGGTTTTCTCAAATACACGTATATATAGGCGCGCGCGATGATCGCGGACTGTATACATACGCACGAATTCTCGCCGATAACAGTTTATGTGTTCTTCATATATGTATTGTCACGCACATGCGTGCTCGTAATATCATTAATATAAATAGATAAACAAATAGAAATGCGGGCCTACATTTATATTATACGCATGTAGTATATAATATACACTCGAAGAGCGCAAAGAAAATACACATTTACGCGCAGTTCTGGCGCGCGCACACAATGTGTGTTATATATAAAGTTACACATTTATATTGGCGCGAATCGCGTCGCGGATTCAGCGCGCGCGCGACATACACACAGCAGAAGCTGCTCTTTATAGAAATCGAGATAAAATAATATAATATAAAAGCCTTACTCGGGCGCATTATCCTTATCGCCGAGCGCCGCAGATTCACGATCGAGCGTATTGAGTTTCGCGTTCGAGCGACGCGCAATCAGCTATGCCCAGCGTAGCTTGTGCACACAAATCGCAAACAATCTCTGGGTTATATACGTAACCTCAAGAATATTTCTATTTCTACGTATCACCTACAACCCAAACATACGCATAGAGCACATGTGTCCATTGATGACACGCGTAACATGAATATGTGATGGTTTGGGTGAAAAGTTCAGATCAATAATGTAATTAATTTCAGTAAAATAGACTTTTACGTGGACAGTTTCATATTGATATCCTTCTTTTTTATCTGCTACTTATTAATGTAAACGTAAAAATTGAAAAATAAGCACTGCCAATTTGTTCCTCACGTGATGCATTCAAGCTCGTACCACGTAATCGCCGAGATTTAAAATTGCAGTATTGAATGATAAGCCTCACAAAAAAGAGTAAATTTTAATCCTATCGTCAAGTTGAAATGTTGATTCGGAATATTCGAGGCTCTCAACTAACTGCAATCAGCTGTGTTTTGAAGATTTGAAACGATAAACATTAGTTCGATATTAATGCATCATTTGTGATAATATTTATACTAAATTAAAACCTTTCTTCTCAGAAGGGAAGATTGAATAAGGTAAATTAAAGTAGAAAGTAAGGAAATTGAAGTTTTTGTCATAGGATTGCATCATTTTATTAAATTTTGCGCTTTGAAATTAAAAAGTTTCTGTTCTTTTGATTTATTATACCTCTGTGATACAATTGACAAAAAATATTAATTTATTTTTCACGTTTTCAATATGTCTATTTGTAATATCAAATTTTAATGAATCAGGTGATCAAGTTTAAAAAATGTAGTGATATAATTTCTATTACTACAAATACAAAATTTTATAAAGCAAGTTGAAAAAAGTAGAATTGCATAATTTCTCTCGATTGATAAGACCATGAAAATAATTCGAAAATACATATTTTTACCCTGATTTATTATAAAAGTCGAAAAACATCTTCATCATCGATCCGACTCTTTTATTGCAATTCAAATTAATTTGTTTTTGTTTCGTGATTTACAGCACCAGACTTTTATTCGATTTTTATGGCAATTTTTTTAAAGTCATTTAAAAATGATTAAATAAAAATAAATGAATCATTAAAATAAATAGATTGATAAAAAAAATAAAATAAATTTCAATGTCTATTTAAAAATAACATTAATAGTTTCTTAATTATAAAGCAAATTGTTTTTATAATTTTATTGATGATTTTTTTGCAGGGATTTTTTTACAAATATTTAATTGAAAATACTGAATAACTAAAATTTTAATAAATGCTTTAATAACGTATAAAATATTAATCCCACAACTGTTTCTTACACCAAAAGGAACAAGTCTTGGCGCAATTTTCTTCCTTACCGACATCGTATTTATTTTCGTACAAAGTAAATACGCGACATATCTTGAAAATTGCAATAAGATACTTAATCCAGCTCTCAATAAAGCAGCTACTATAGTTTACATAAACTACATTTTTACGCTCAATCGAACGCCATATTTTCAAATCCTATCAACGTTAGTTATATTCCTTCTCATTATATTCCCTCTTTATATTAAAAGCCGCGCGCGCTTCTGCGTGTCGAGCACGTTTCTAAAAACGAGCGCATTATGCTGCTTCTTCTGCTGGTCCATGTATTCAACGCGCAAGTCGGTCTTTTAATATTGTAAAGTGGTGGGCGCCTTTCAAATTTGGACACTTCGTTCGCACGAATATATACACGAGCACCAACCTCGTGCGTATAAGCTTACCGCGCGCGTCAGCCATGTTGTAATAATATTTTTGTCTGCAAGAGTGCGTATCGTCGTTGTGCGCGTAATAATAACCATAATATCATAATGCTCGTGCTGTACTGCTACATGTTATGAGCACGAGAAAACTGCGATGCTGCTGCTGCTACAGCTGAAAATGTGCATGCTGTGCTGCACACGTTACACGGCTATAACAAGTGCATCCGAATGAAAATTTAACGCCAAGTTTCGTCGCTCAACGAGCGAATAATAAAATCAAAGCCGTGTGTCTGCGCGCACTTGCGACTCCGCTTATATACATGTACACGATATACACGCACGGAGGAACGGATCTCTGTCTCGCTCTATTATATATACGTGTTTTATAATGTAATGCCTTTATACCATCGGCGTGCGCGACACGAGTATATAATATATGTGAGGTCTGCCTGCCACGATCGGAGCACATTATATATATATATCTAACTGACTGCACGCAAATCGAATGCATAACGACGAATTATATTACACGATGACAAGTCTTTGTGTATATGTGTGTGTGTGTGTTCGATCGAAGAAAAAAACGAACTTACCGGCTTCGTAAAACGGAGAATCGCCGTCGCGACCGTTTCTGACATTACACCTGCGCGTCGATGTTGTGCCCTTGTTACCGCTGCTCTCTTTGCTCTTCAGTTTCATATTGATGTTGACGATGATGATAACGATGATGTCTCGTTCGAACTGTTCATTATTTTAATTTTTTGACGAAAAAATTGCATGCACCACTGCTGCTGCAGACAACGACGACGACGACGACGACTCCGACTCGTGACCACAACAGTTTTTTTTTCTATATACTGTTTAACAACCGTTCACTGCTCTCCGCGAATTTCTTTCTTTCTTGCTCGTGCTTTCCTTTGGCTCGCGACGATTATGATAATGCACGAGGTGTCATGCCAACAGCAGCAACGACAGTCACAGCTGAAACTCGACAGTCATTTATATGCATCACTGATTAAAACACATACTTGTAGCTATTACGGCACTGCACACAAATATATGTACAAGTTCGAAAACGAAACGTCCGTCCTCGGCCGTCGTCGTCTTGTTGTCTCTGTTTCGCTCGCGGCAGATTCTATATAACGCGGGCACACACGCACGTTCATACACACACACGTACACACGCGCGACACACGTATATATATCTCCGAGAATTAATTCCTTCGCTGTGCTGCGTTTTGTGCTCTCTTTTAACGCTCCGAGTTATGCGCTTTATTTCCAACACGCTCAAACACTCACACTCACACACAAACACACTGCTCCGATCTCTTGTATTACTGGCTTTTGTATACATAAAAAAAACTCGCGTATTCTGCCCCGTGGACGAATCACTGCACGCAGTTTTCGTTTAAATGCACATCGCAGCACACGTTTTTTTGCGCTATATACACACTACACATACACGCGCATATGTTCGTGTTGGTATATGTGCTCCGCTATCGGCCGGCTTTCGAACACTAATTTATTTCTTTTTTTCTTTTCTGATTCGTGTATTCTCTATGTACATCGAGCAAATAATACACACACCAGACTGTCACATGGTGGGCATTCACTCGAGGCAATTGTATACTGTCACCGTCAAAACACGCCGACTCCAATGACCCGCAGCACACGCGAGCGTATATTATAAAACTACACTCCGCGAGGCATCTATACTAGCCAATTGGCGAGGTTAGATTTGGACTCTATCCGCGCTCCGTACGTTTAAAAAAAGCAGAAAAAAGCAAAAAAAAACAACGTATTATTATTAACGAGAGTCATTCGCAGCACACGGCCAGCAGCAGGCAGCAGCACTCTCCTACCCACGGTACGCCGCACGATGTGCGCTTCAAGGTTACATGCCTTCTTTTTTTTTGTATTCTGCAACTACTGTGCGCGCTCGCCAGCGCCATCTAGCGCGCTCCGAGCGAATCGAATGTCAAAACAAGCGAAATCATATATCCGAGGATAGTCGTCTGCTGTATTACCCGTGACTGGCACAACACTGTCACATGAGCGGCTCGGTCTGTAAAAATATATCCGTATCGATGTCTCGGAGCTGCTATGGTCGCGGGGCTTCGACGCAGGGCCGTAACCAGCGAAATTTTTGATTTTACCTTATACTAATGGTAACCCAAGCTACATAAGTAACCCAGGTAACCCCCCTTCCCCGAAAAAATTTTCTGGTTACGGCACTGCTTCGACGATTGCATATATTTTTATTGTACGTTATGATTCATACACTTCCCCTTTTGTGAGAAAAAATAAACTAATAAATACTTGCTACCTTCCTATATTATATAAGTTTACAGTTACAGAGAAAGATTTGAATTTCGATCACTATAATTATACCATAAACCTACAAAACATATGATAACAGAACGATTTTTATTAATTATTTTTAAAAGGAGAAGGGGGAAGTGGGTTTTTTTATATTCAAAAGAAGGGGAAGGTGTGACCGATTATTCATGCATTTTTTCACAGCTATGCGCGGGAAAAAACGACTATAATTGTAGGTTCAGTAGATAGAAATGAAAAACGTTACTTTGTACAATTGATGATTCTTTTATTTACATTATGTGGTGTGACGAACATAAGACATTTTTTGTTTTTTTATATCGAAGTGGCATTCATACATTTCTCGTCTCATTGAATTTTTTTTGTTAAAGATTCAAGAATGGAGCACATGAAATACAAATTTTTTTTGTTAATCTCTCAATTGAGAGCTTGAAAGTATTTTCAACTTTTTCATGAAGGTATGTTTTTCTATGTAATAGTCACTTTTGTTAATAAATTTATTAAAATTCAAACACACTCACAAACACACCTACACATCTCTCGTCGTAATAAATTTTCTTGTAATAGGTAATTTGCAATATACGTATGTTATTTTTTTTATCTTTTACCTATTTGTATTTATACGTATTTACGTGCATCTAGTTTGTGTATACTTATGTATGTTTTTTTTATACTTTATTTATTCAAGATGTTGAGCATCATAGGTATAGTGTGAAAATTTTTCTTCTTCTTTTCTTCAGATTGTAAAATCAAAGGATAACTCGTTAAAACAAATCACTGTACAATTGTTTCAGCTGAAGAGCGAACTGGTTGACGCTCGTTTTTACACGTGTGTAGTATAAGCTATGCCTCGTAAATGATAGATGATTGCAAATGTAAAATTATGATAATAAGGCCTATGCGCGCGCGAGAATTGTGTAATATCAAATCAAACTCGAAGTATTATAAGCATTTTCGAATATCATAAATTCAACGATTTTATTTCATTCAAGTTCAGTTGCAAAAACCGAGATTTCGCAAAGACGATAAAGTACTATTTTTAATTTGTATTAGCTTTCCAGCTGATTACAGCTGCAAGAGTATATAAAATTAACAGTGAATAAAGTATACAATTAAATTATCGACATTACAAGTCATAAAAATTAACTCATAATTACTTTAAAACGTGAGATTTCAATAACTCTAAGGATAGGCACTGTTTCATTGATTAAGTTCCTATATAACAAGAAGCGAAATAAAATCTATCTTATAATGATATAATTAGATGAATAATCTTTCGAATGCACAAAGTAACGTTATGAGAAATTGGAATTTTATCACAGCGAGAAACTCATTTATTTGATTATGTAGCTTCAGTTGACGTTTTATAGAATGTATACAAATTATTTCTCAATTTGATTATTTTTTTCGACGTGTCTGATCAAACACAAGGGGCGCAGGGGCGAAAACGGTTAAATGTAATTGACGGTGACGTAACCGAAAAAAATTGGCTTAATTTATATAATTAATTACTGTCTTGTGCGGGGGAATTTCCAGTTTTTTTTTAAATGTTCTGATGTGCGTATAATTGTGATGATGATTCGATGGATGCACGCAATTTTTATAATAGCTTCCATTTATATGTATTAGTAGTCCGATTGTCCATATGTAATGATATCATATTCATATTCTCACATTTTTGACTTGAAACATTTTTCATTTTTTTTAAATTTATTTTTAACATTTTTCGGCTATCAGCGCGCGACATATGAGTATTTTCATGTCTCTTTATTATTATTTTTATCATTATTATTTAACAACCAGCATCACGCATAGACTAATAACAACGAATAGTTGTGCTTATCTTTCAAGATTTTTCGATCGACTCTCGCATTCCGATAAATACTTCGCTCTTTCTTCATTCATTAGGTACTTTTTTAATGAGTACATGATGCTGTTCATAATTACGTTTTATAGAATAGAGATCCGAGCATAAAAATTTTTGAACATATAATATTTATAATTTATAATACATTTGATTTTCTTTATATACTTATACAAATGAACGTCAACATCGATTTGGCATATTTGCTATCGTTATCTCTTTTCTTATCATTCCTTAAAGTTTTCTTTATACAAGAATTGCAAGTACGCTTGTGGCTTCAGAAGTCTTAACAATTATTTAAAACGCGATCGTTGCAGCGTTTTAAAATCTTTTTTAGCATTTATTAATTAGTATATTACAGTACTTTTATGCTATGTTTTTTTGTGTATACATACAGTCATTTTACTCCAAAAACACATCAAAATTTATCATGGAAAACAAATGATTGGTCATAAAAACTTGTAGCAACGTTACGCAATCGAACGAACTTTTATTTGATTTTGTAAAAAAAGAATCGCTTGACACACAAAAATGATCGGATTACTTTTTGATTTTAAATTTTCCAAGTTGGAAAAAAGTTGATTGAAAAGAAACGTGGCAATTTTTGAGCTTATCGTTTTTTTTAAACTCAACTCGATGATAATTCAATGAAACTCGAATAGAAATTTGATTTTGCAAGATACTTTTGATTATCCTATTGTTTGTTTAAAAAACTTACGTAAAGTTTTCAATGTTTTGATTCTTTTTATCTTTACAACTTCAAGGAACGTCTGGTGCTCGTTATATTAGACAAGTTTTCGTACGTTATAAGCATCTGTATTATCTGTAATCTGTATTATTATATCAGTCTAGCTTCAATATTTTTCATGTCCAGTTAATTTTCAGCATTATAAATACTCCATTTACTGCTCTTCCGTTCAATAAAAAAAAGAATATGAAAAGGTAAAAAGATTTTCTCTCCATCGTCGAACGTATTAACTAAAAATTAGCCGTAAATACTCTTCACGGAAGACTAGTGACGTACGTGTATTGTTTCCGGCACTTTTTTCTCGCCATACAATTTTTCCTCTTCGAGTTCAATCCATTATAATGGACGGGAGGAACGATTGATCAGGACTCGCGACCTTTCGAATATCCCAATTATATTTTTCTTCATTATTACAATACCTAACTTTTAGAAATTCAACGTAATGATAATATGCTTTTTTCCTTTTAATTATATCGATAATCATAATCATGACAATCACCTGATAGTTCCTTTCAGGGTGGTCAATACTCGGGGTTAACGACGAAATATTTGGTACTTCTTTCTCTTAAATGTAACACGATCGAGTCTTGACCACCGCGTTAACTTTAATTAAAAACAGTCTTTCTAATATAATGGTTTTATACCTTCATTTCTCGGCAATATATACCTACTATAATATATACGAACGGGACTTTTATCGATTAATTATTATAATACATTTTTTTCTATACAGACAAAACACTTGCAATCTTATAAATTTTCCTCATTGGTTTTATAGTAACGTACTGCAAACTAAGGACGTACATATAATGCATAAAACTGACTGTCCCATATCACTGTGACGTTTCTATTTCTGATATCTATGAAACGTCTCGACATTCGTTTTTATCTTACGAAACGAAGCTTGGCCACATTTTGACATGCTTGTATTGAGTGATACAAATTGAAACAATCGTTCGTACCCATCGAAAAAAGGTGAAAAAATTACTTTCGTCGTTGCTCGATTTTGAACGAGCGTCGACGATCATCTCTAAATACCTATTCATTCAGATAACAGTTAAAAAGTTCAACGAACTGTAGAATAATGGTTGTCTTTTATTTTCATCTTTATAACTCATCTTCACTATTATTTGGCGCACTATTTATATATAATATAATATATTTAAAAACCCTCACGATATACTTCTAGAATAATACAACGCGAACGTTCCTCATCGGCTTACGTGACGCGCGCACAAAAATTGTTATCCAACTTATTCACTTGTTTCTCGCGCGTTCATAAATAATTCGCGCACGCACAGCATGTACCGTCGTCGCCCGGATCTGCTGCTGCTGCTGCTGCGACTCCGTGGGAGTTTACAGGAGCGTCGAGGCAGTGACGAGATCCGAGACGACCGTGTAGTCGTGGGGCTGCTCGAAGCATCAGACCCTTATGTCCCCGATGCCCTGCGAGCACTGCTGCGAGTGATGGACGTCCGACACCTGCGTCGTCGTCATCATGTTCTCGGGTATCGTCGAGTGCATTAGCAGCGGCTGATTCTCCGGTGGGCTCTTGGCTCGAGGCGGTGGTGGCGGCCGTGGCACAGTCAGGTGAATTGATCCGTTGGGTGGACCCTGCGAGGGAGGAGGAGAAAGAAATATTGTTATTTTACGAGCCTGCTTAAAAACTAAGAATATTATCATGTCAAAAGACGTCACGAGAAGCAGAAAATCTATGGCACATATATATTGTTTGAGATAGTGTTTTTCGATCAACCCCGCTTAATACGCAGACATTTCATACACGATTCTAATGTAATATATATCGTGTATAATCGTCAGAGTAGCGGGTCTGAAAGTGTATAACAACATCAAGTTTTTTAAACTACAGAAAAAAAAGTTCGAGGCGCTCACTCATACAAACGCAGCAACAAAATTACCGATAATAGTTCGGTTGCGCCACTGCGTTGCCGTTGTCGCTCTTACAATTGATTTCGTTCGACAATGAAACAGAGCAAAAAATAAAGGGCTTGTGAAAAGTATGGTACCTTTACGAAGGCAACAATGACTTCACGCGCGAGCTACGCACGCGCACACTGCGTTTGTTGTTTTCCCTTTTGACAATTCATGAATTTTTTTCTGCAGCCGACCCGGGTATTCGTGCGCAGCGCAAACTTTCAAGCTTGCGTTACCTACACTACTCGTAGCCCGGAAATTCTCGCAGTCACGTGTACGCTTCGATGCAATCGTCGTGCACGCGTCGAATTATCGTTTGCTGCAGACAGGAGTGACAGACTGACAGCGATCCTTCTCTCTTCTACCGTTCGAAAAGAGGCGTAAAACGAAAAAAAAAAGCTAGAGCAGCAGAATCGCGACGCGCCCGAATGCAGTTCGCGTTCGCGTATATAGGCAGGTGCCTAATGATGAAAAGCAAAAAATCGCAAGCTTCAATTTTTTTTATGATTTCAGAGGAAACAAAATATTTATCGTGTTCATTATGATGAAGTTAGTTTGATAATTTTTCTTCAAACATCGAAGGAGTAATTGAAAAAAAATCCGCCTGAATAAACATCGAAGAAACTTCATTTTTTCTATACTCCCGCGTTTGAAAAAACTTTGCAATTTTTTCATTCGTAGGGTATTCAAAAGTTTCTCGGATTTCATCAAAATAAAGTATACGCGTATAGGGGAGAATCGGAGGAGTAGTGCGGGAGCTGCGAATACATGACAAAAACAGCGTGTACTACTGTGTAGTATATAAAACTCGCTGTAGTGTAAAATAGTACGATATGATGGTTATAATGTACTGTAAAAGCCACACAAAAAAGCGTGCAGAAGATCATTTGTTTGTTTGCTTGTTTGTTTTTTTTGTTTTTTGTTTTTTTTTTTGTTATAATCACGTTACCATTGCGTCATGCTGCTGTTATACACTTAGGACCCAAAGCGTTTCCTTTGACATGATCTAAACAGAGAAACACATCATCAGGTGTGTACGTGTGAATAATGGTACATAATCACGCACGTTTACAACAACAACGAAAACAGCAACCACATAACGACAACAACGAATTACGAGTTAGTTTTGCTAATTGTCATAAAATCGTGAGTAATATCATGAAGTGCGTATACACACAAAGCTCATATACACGTTTACACGGATAAGGAACGAAGGATGCAGAGTATAAACTTGAAGCAGTACAGAGCTCTCTACATATGGTTATTGCTCTCTGCCTTTCTCTTGTGTATGCCTCTTACCTGGTTTTGTTGCGTGCTAATGTCGGGCAGTATGACCGAGCCGCCTCTTGGTAGAGTCGAGTGGTGCGACTGGTGCTGCTTCTGATAATGGTGTGGATGCGGCAGCGTGTGCGTCAGCTGGGTCTGCTGCTGTTGCTGATGCTGTTGTTGCTGGTGCTGCTGCAGAAGCATATTCGTCTCGCCCACAGTTACGTTTTTCATCGCGTTTCTGCAAAATGCCAAATGAAACGGGAGGCGGTTATTACTCGGCGTGGCATACACGCAACGTATAAACGCGTAGTTATAAACAAGTACAGCGCACAGTCGCACACTGGGTAAACTTTTCGCCTCGAGACAGCGTACGCGAGCGAGGCAAACGAATCCACTTCTGGCAACGAGACTAGCATCAACATTTTACCGCGACAGCGACCGGTGCGTAGTGTAGCTTGCAGCAGAGACAGAGATTCGCGAGCGTCGTATACACGCTGGCGGCGATGTATTATATTTTCTAATTAATATCATGTGCGTTGTGCTGCTCCCTGCTTGAGAGCATTCGCTGCCGTTTGCGGCACACTTTGTTTGTCACCACTTACACTCGCGCGCGCGTTTGCTACTAGACAACTGCAGCAGTAGCAGTAGGAAGATTCCTTGTAATTGTTTCAAAATTAAATGTAAACCTCGGCTTTCTACCCACTCGCGTATATTTGTATATTGTGATACGCGTGTCGCGCGCCTCATACAGTCTTGGAGAGCACGAATGTCGAGGAATTGTTTCGAACTTGGAAGTTTATTTTCAAAGTTTTTTAATAAAAAAAATGTTGCGTCGTACGAATCCTGCGATGCTCACCTGCGCAGCATCTCGTTCTCCACGTCGACTATGACCTGTCCGCCGCCGGGATAGTGACCGTGGCCACCGGGAGGCGGCGGCTGTAGCTGCTTCAACTCGTTGAAGCCCCGCGGGCCGCACTGCTGATTCATCATCTGCTGCTGCTGCAGACTCTTAACTTCCAATCGCGTCTTGTCGCGCTGATAGTACACACCGGCGAATATCAGCACGTTGAGTATCAGCAGACTGCAGCCTATGGCGATGGTGACGCTCAGGGCGGTGCTGTAGGCCGCGTAGCTGCGTCACATAAATACAATGGATAAGCAAAGATCGAACATTATTTTATTACTTATTTTTTTCGGTGGATTTCGCGTCTATAGAATCATACTCGAAATTCGTATCAAAATACTGAAACAGATACATTTGGGTCATTGGTAAAGGCTTTAAAGACTTCATTTTATATTGCATTTATTATAATCAAAAGTGTCATATTGAGTTCTGTACTTTTTGATTTAACCAACAGATGGAGTATTGAAAAGTCGCAAGCAGAAACACAAAGTTCCGGTTAGTATAAATACAAAACAATTTTATTGAAATAATTGAATGTCCTTGCGCTGGTCGATAATCTCCAGTTCTATTCAATTGTTGAGGTATGTCCGTTGCCCTTTATTTTCGTCGTCGATAATGCTAACACGTTCTTTGTTTTGCCTTTTTATTGTTTTAACTTTAAATGAAAAGATGAGGTAATTTTGCATTGAACATAGCTCCGAATATTTTGCTCCCTCGTAGAGGGGGGGGGGCGGAAAATTTCTGTATGTTAGCAATATTCCGAGGGTAAAATTTTTTTTACGATCTTAGTTTTTTTTTTACGAAATTTCGAAAAACGATTTTTTATCGATTTTTACTGTATGAATAAAGTAATTTTCAGAATTTTTCCATGGTTATAAAGAAACTAGAGCATTCAAGCTTTAACTCGAGATCAAGAACGAATATTATGAAAGTTACACTCTCTAAATAAAAAGTTGTACTTTTGATTTTTCATAGGTGAGTGTTTCTGACTAACTTTTAAAATTGCACGTACTGATGTGTAAGTCAGGTAATTTACCATGCACAGTTCTGAAATTTTATCAGGGTCTTTAAGAAGACTTGAGAGATCTACACTTTTATTTTTGAGCGTTTTGGTGGCCCGTCCTTTTTGTATCGCACGTTTGAAAATCGATTTTACTCTTGAGTCAAAAAACGTACTGCGAATAAAATAAATTTTCGATAGCTTCTTAAAAAATGGACTATTAACCAAATGATCTGAAATTATCATGTTACCTTCCTTTATTCACATACTTTAGAAAAATTTGTGACCTGAACTTGATCCTCCTAAATTGGAAATTTCCCAGAATGTTTTCCGCGCGTACTGGATTATTTGAACTTTTAGCTTTTTTTATACATTTTCATTTTTTACAATGGACTATTGTTTTTTTTTATATCTGTATACATGTTTAAAAAGGGCTGGAAAAGACGAACAAAATGAGCCCAACCAGAACTCTGTCCCTTATTTAATAAGAATTGTACGCTGGATTGAACATTCGATAATCCTGCGTTAATCACTTAAAAATTTTTGAAAAAAATTTTTTTTTCATGAAATTTTTTTCTACTATGAATAAATTAATTAATTTATAAAAAAAATTTTTTTCATGGGAAATTTATAAACAATTTTTATAAAAAATTTTTTTTTTCATGAAAAATTTTTATAAATATATTTTTTTTCATGAAAAATTTTTTTCTTATCATGAATAAATAAATTATTCAACAAATAATTTTTTTTCACACACTTTCTTTTTTTATTTAAAAAATTTTGCTATATCATCAAGGGCAAGGCCGTAAAAAAAAAATTTTACATTTAATTCATTTATAATGACTACGCAATTCGCCTACGTAGATAATTATGTGCGGGATGATATAAGTAATGTCACATGAAAACACATGAAAGAAAAAGGGGTTTTTTCGCTTCAAAAAGTGCATAAGGAAACTTGAAAAAATCCAAAGAAATTTAAGGTCATGTTTTTCAATGCATAAAACAGAGAAAAAAATTTTCGAGTTTGATATTGGCTCGTATCGCCGTATATAAATTTTCCAAATTTTTAATTATTTTATCTGAAGGCCTGAAGCCCTCGAAAAATCTGAAGAAATTCAAGGTGCTTAGTTTTGTTGATATGTACTATTATGAATTTTTTCAGATTTTTTAATTACTTCAGGGCTTCAGAATGAATATAAATAAAGAATGGACGTTTATAGGGGTGGAGGGGGTAGGAGGGGGGGATGGGGAGTAAAATTTTGGCTTTAGGATTTTTTTACCATGTACTATAACATATCAAAAGCGCATCTGGATCGGTGTCATTCGAAAATTTGAAGAAGTTTTATTTTGACCCACATTTAGATCGGGTTTCCCAAATGGACTATGGAGGAAAATAAAGCCCAAAGTTATTTTTGGAATTCTTTGTTGATAATATTCAAGAAAAATTCATTCCGGATACTGTGCCGCTAAATTTTTCATCAAAAATTTTTTTAGGCGTTATTTTAAAAGTTAGTCAGAATCACTCAGGTATGTTCTCAAAATGCAGTATACTCTCTGCAGCCCTCTTCTTATCATCTTTTCTTAAGATTTTTTCTATGAGGAAGCTCTTTAGCAATGAATTGGCAACGTTTTTTTTCTGTAATAGTGGAATAGGTTAGGTTTTAATTTCTGCTATGGTTCGCTGCTTTAAATCCACATCGCTTGAAACTTCGTGAGTTTTATATCGTTGCCCCAGCGCAGGAAGGTATCTATTTCCAAGCTGCAGCAAGAAGGATACTTACTCGCGCGCAGAGGCAAAAAGGTATCTAACTCGAGCGCAGCGGCAAAAAGGTATCTAATTCGAGCGAGAAGCAAAAAAGTAGCTTATTCAAACGAAGTGGCAAGAAAGTTTTGACGCGCCGAATTTAGGTTGGCAACGGAGCCGTGAATGATAAAATTTTGTTTCAACATTCAACATTCAACGTTTAATTCAAAGCTATATGTAAAGCCGATAACTTCTACTCCTCTCAGAACATAGAAAGTTCTCCATAAGAGGCATATTGAGTCGAAATCGCGGCGAGATTGATTTGTTTGCTCGCATTTCAAATAGATGAAACTCATTACACTAGCTCAAATGTTTTTCCTCTTTTTTGCTCTAATACAAAACAAAATTTTATCATTTACGGCTCCGTTGCCAACCTAAATTCAGCGCGTCAAAACTTTCTTGCCACTTCGTTTGAATAAGCTACTTTTTTGCTTCTCGCTCGAATTAGATACCTTTTTGCCGCTGCGCTCGAGTTAGATACCTTTTTGCCTCTGCGCGCGAGTAAGTATCCTTCTTGCTGCAGCTTGGAAATAGATACCTTCCTGCGCTGGGGCGACGATATCTAAGATGACGCTCAAGGAATTCAGAGATTGCTTTGCCTGAATTTAAATGATCTTATTTTATTTTATAGAATTATACAGTGTTGCAGGTAGTTTATTAATCATTCAATTGAACTTTATAGTCAACTGATAACTGAATAATTCAGTTATAAATTCATAATTAAAAAACTGATAACTAATGATTCAGTTAATAGTTACTCAATTATTAACTTATAACTGATTGAATTAGTTATTATTTACCAGATAAATAACAGGTAACTGGTAATTGAATCAATCAGTTCTTAATAATCAGTTACTGAGTTAAGTATCATAAAAATCCAAATAAAATATTTATAAAAATTGAATCCACATATAGCAGTAATGATAAAGTATAAATAAATCTCTCTGAGTCGCTCTAATGCATCAGAAAGCATTGTAAAATCACCATAGGTGAACTAAACAGTACTGAGATGACTGAATTTAGTTTTACACATTACAAAAACATTTTTTTCACGAAAATCACTTGCTACGGTCGATGCAATAACACGCGGATAGTATATTGAAAAAAATGAAAAAAGAGTAAGCAAGTATAAAAAAATGTGATTTTATGCTGCATTTTATAATGCATTGGCTGTCTGAAATCGTTAGTAATTTTACATTTTTTTACGTTTTATTACATTTTACATTTTAATATGATAGTTTACATTTTACATTTTAATATCATATTTTTAATATGATAGTTTTAACTTCCACTTTTCTCTATCATGAACAATTTTTTTTCCGTCAGGGTTTATTTTGGAGCTCAGAATTGTAATATGGACCTTCTGCTTCTTTGGGTACCTCTACGTCCATCTGTTTCTGTGACATGAGACTTGTCACAAGGAAATAAACTTTTTTTTTAGCTTCATCGTTCAGAGCTTTAAGCCATTTCAACTTGAACTGCGGGAGAAAAAAGACTGCTTCAGCAGCATTTACTCCTAATCCATGAACATTAAAATAATCAGTAAATCGATCCTCAAAATTTTCTAATAGATCAGACCATGGTTGTTTACTCAATTCGATATCTGAACTTTCTAGTAAAAACTGCCACTGTGATTTTAAAATCAATCAGTACACATAAAAAATAACAGTTATTCTCTGCTTGTAGTTTGTCAATTGTTTTGGCGGGTCCAGTAGACCATATCAGATGTTCCTCTATACAATCAGGATTAATTTGGTTTAAATAAAGATACCCTTTTTCTCGGAAAAAACTCGCGTAACTCAACTGATTGAAGAAAATTTATATCATATTATTATTTCCAGAAATTATCTGGGGTTGTTAGTTTAACTTATACCTGTTGAATGCAGCATTTTGGCTAAGTAACCCAAGTAACCCAACTGATCGGGGGCAGAATTGAATCAAACTTTTTTTTTCGAAAATGATGTTGAAATGTCAGTTTGAATAGAATATGTTAAAGAAAGCATTTTCGGCCGAGTAACCCAAGTAACCCAAGTAACCCAAGTAACCTAGATAACCCAAATAACCCAATAAACCCGGATAACCCGAGTAAACCTTATAACCCAATTGACCCAGTAACCCAAGTAACCCAATTAACCCAAGTAACCCAAGTAACCAAGATAACCCAAGATAACCCAAGTAACCCAATTAACCCAAGTAACCTCAGTAACCCAAGTAACCCAGATAACCCAAGTAACCCAATTAACCCAAGTAACCCTAGTAACCAAGATAACCCAAGTAACCCTAGTAACCAAGATAACCCAAGTAACCCAAGTAACCCAAGTAACCCAAGTAACCCAAGTAACCCAATTAACCCAAGTAACCCCAGTAACCCAGATAACCCAAGTAACCCAATTAACCCAAGTAACCAAAGTAACCAAGATAACCCAAGATAACCCAAGTAAACCAATTAACCCAAGTAACCCAAGTAACCCGGATAACCCATGTAACCCAATTAACCCAAGTAACCCTAGTAACCAAGATAACCCAAGTAACCCAAGTAACCCAAGTAACCCAAGTAACCTAAGTAACCAAAATAGCCCAAGTAACCCATGTAACCCAAGTGACCCAAGTAACCCAAGTAACCCAAGTGTCCCAAGTAACACAATTAACCCAAGTAACCCAAGTAACCAAGATAACCCAAGTAACCCAAGTAACCAAGATAACCCAAGTAACCCAAGTACCCCAAGTAACCAAGATAACCCAAGTAACCCAAGTAACCCAAGTAACCCAAGTAACCCAAGTAACCCAGATAACCCAAGTAACCCAATTAACCCAAATTACCCAAGTAACCAAGATAACCCATATAACCCAAGTAACCAAAGTAACCCAAGTAACCCTAGTGACCCAGATAACCCGAGTTACCTAATTAACCCAAAGTAACCCATGTGACCCTTATAACCCAATTAACCCTGTAACCCAAGTAACCCAAGTAACCCAATTAACAAAGATGACCTAAGTAACCCAGATAACCTAACTGATCGAGGAGGGACTTAAATCAAATTTTTTTTCGGAAATGGTGTTCGGTTGTGAGTTTGGCTTGTACCTGCTTAAGTGAGCATTTTCGGTCTAGCATCCCAAGTAACCCAAGTAACCCATCTGGTAGAGGGGAGACTTCAGGAGGGAGCAATACCACAAATCTACATTCAAAAACAATTCATTATAAATTAAGAAAAAAAAATTTTTCCTCGAGTCATGTTCACATTTCGGAATGATAAATATTAGGAATTATGAATATTCGGAATGTGTAAAATTCTGAATGTTTGAATATCGGAATATTGATAACGGAACATAAAAAATTGAGAAAAACCAAATTTTCCATGTTCTGTTTTCAATATTCCGATTTTTAAACATTCCGAATTTTACACATTCCGAATATTCGTTATTCCTATTATTTGTAGCACTGTATGGTCCGAAAACCAAATGTTGTTGTTTACTCATATTTATTACATTTTTTTTCTCTTTATTATTTGACACTGAAATTTTGATTGCAAATCAAACTAAAATCGCTGAAAATATATCACTAATTTAACGAAATAATTGGTAACGAAATTTTTAAATTAGTGCAAAACAATGGTATGAATAATTCAAATATCAGTTACTAGTTAAGTAAGTCGTAAATGAATATTTCAATTATCAGTTACTACTTGAAAAACTAGTAAGTGAACACTTCAATTATGAATTACTATTTTTAAAAGTTTACATGTTAATTATTCAGTTGGCTATTACGTGATTAGTAACAGATAATTGAATAATTCAACTAGCAGTTACTAATATAGTAATTGATAAAATTTGCTACACTGGAATTCTAGAATAAGCAGGGGGCCCTGCCACCCTGCTTGTTCCGGCTCCGCTCGCGCAACCCCCCCAGTGGAACTGAAAAAATTTGAAACTAATTTTTTTTATGTTAAGCTTATAACTGTTCTGGTATACAAGTATTTATGAATTGAGGTATTTAAAATTGTAATTTATATTATTTATAACTAAAACTATAATATTTACTATCTATTATTAATGAATTAATAATGTTTGAAATGTATATATCCACTTTAAAATGAAGCATTTTACCGCATACCAGTGTCCAACAACGTTTTTTGCACGCTGGTTCACATAGTTATTTAAGCAACAAGCGCCCAAAAGGCGTTTTTGGGCACGAGTGTGCGGAAAAAGACACGAGTGCCAAGTACCGCAGTACGGAAAATCTCGTGGACCAGCAATAAAACATGATCTGCATGGGCTTGCCCATGACCCCCCCCCCCCCTTTCAGAGTCTTTCTATAGAGGAAAAAAACCCTTACCTTAGAACATCCCCTGTCGACATAGGTGACTCGACTTTGAGATACAAGGAAGGTCTTTACTCCGCGAGTTCGAGCTTCAAGTTGTCTCTTTTTTACTTTAGGTCTATGTATAACATTGCGAGTCGCTTTTAAAATTAAAAAAATGGTCATATATTCGTCGGTCGTACGCGTATTATATACGAGCAGGTAAAGGGAGAATTTTTATTTCATCCGGAGACTGCTATTTTTGCAGTTCTCCGCATGTATCGTCTCGCTCTGTATAAGTATATTACAAGCTCGTGTATGGCAAGGAACGTGGTATATATGCGGTCGTTGGGCCGTGAGTAAGCGACGACGATCTCATGCACCCGTGTAGTGTACATGTGCAACGATGGAGGTACACACACATACGTATCGTCGACGACTACTATACCGGTACGGAGCTTTAAAATTTTCAGAGTCATTCCTCACCATATTAAACTCGCGCCGCGTTTATATGTATTATAACGTCGGCGCGTATTAAATCTGGAGAATATAAAATGCTATACGCGCCACATAACGTATACGCGTAACGTCAAGCGCGCGTAAAGTATTCATTTCGTCGATGCGGTAACTTTTTTTTTCACTTTTTGTGGCCCGTCCTTTGGTCAGGATCTAGGCGCACATATTGTAACTCTCTCTCTCTCTCTCTCTCTCTCTCTCTCTTATAAAGGGCTCGGCGCGCCGCAGTCATAATATACGTTATATCATATCATACCGACCTTGACGGCCCGATGAAAATTCATCGTAGACGCACGCCTGGTATATAATTTATACGATAGAAAAATAAAAGCACAAAACGATCCGCCTTACCCAGCAGCGTCGAGACTGGCCAGCGTATCCGTGCTGGCGTTGTGTATGTTGGGAATGGCGTTGCCGTTCTGTATGAGACTGACGCAAGTCGTCATGCTGTAATCCTGCGTCGTCGGTGACAGCGACGATTCCGTCGTAGCGTTGTTTTTCGCGTTACCGCCGCCGCCGTTGCCGTTGTTGCTGCTGCCTCCCCTCGTCATGGACGTGAGATCCAGTCCTCGGCGGGTCTTCTCGATGTCGTTGCTGCCGACCCTACTCAGCGGGTCCGGCCTCACGAAGCCGTCGTACAGGCTCGGGTCAGCGTGGCCGCGAAACAAATTGTGCCGAGGCTCGACGTCCTCCATGCCGGCTCGATGCAGCTCGGGCACGAGGCGCAGCCATACCGACAGCTGGTGTGCTCGATAATGATTCTTCATCTTTGGCTTCATACCTAGTGGAAAAAAGGATCGAGTCTCATTACAAACTTAATATCGTAATATTTTATTTATTATTAGAAATTGTTTACCGGAGGTACACGAGTATAGTGAGTGCCGTGTCGAAGAGTAGAATTAGCTATATATATAGCTGCAATTTTTATTGGATCAATTTTCATTAAAGTTCGAAGTGGGGATATTCTGGGGAGACGCATTTTAATTTCATGTCTGGCAGCCACCCGCTTCGCCCGATAAAATATATAAGCGCGCTTAAAAGGACGTCTTGAAAGTCCCAAAGTAAGTGACTTTTAATCTGGCGAAAGTGCCTTCCACGGGCCTACATTACCAGATACAATTTTTAATGAAGTACGTGCTCAAAATACATCTAGCCATAGATAGGGTCGAAGCAGTGCCAGCATCAGCAATGGCAGTGCTATGCGCCTAGCCTCTGGATGCTGCTGTATATGGGGCAAAACTCCCAAACTGCCCAAGCGCGTCGGACACGTAGCGTTATTGCATGTAAACGCTCTCGGAAAAAACTGATTTACATGGCCGATGTATTTTTTCCTCAGCTTTCCATTCTACGATTCATCGAATGATCATCAGACAAAATGGGAAAGTTAAGGTAAAAATTCATCGACTTTGTACATTCGTTTTTCACGAATGTATTAATATGCACTGTTAGCAATATTTTAATTAAAATTAAATTAAAATCAAAAAAAGTTATTTTCTACACGTTCAATCAAATTTTATGTAAAAGTATGAAAATCAATTTGCTTCGAACGAAATTGAAGTATTTTTTGTTAATAATTCAGCTTCTGCTAAGCTTAAATTTAATGCGAAATTTTATTAATTTGATTTAAAATACACTCGGCAACAAAATTATCGCAACAAAAAAATTCATCGAAATTTTGTCGATTTTCAAATGCTTCTATCTTGGGCTAGATTTATCGTATCGACACGCTTTTTTTTTAATTTCTTGGAAATTTTGTCCTCTTTAAATCCATATAAATTAAGATAAGATTTGAGTTAATGTTGAGTTACCAATAGTATTTGAGCGTGACCTTAAAAATTACTGAAAAAAAATGATTGTTTGAACGTGTACCAGTACCACAGTGATTTTTTTATCGAAATCTAACATACACCATCGCAAAGTGCTCTTTTTAACGAGTAATTTAAAAAAAAGACCTCTCTACGATTTTTTTAACGCTCTGTAGGTCGTTTTGATGATACCATTTAAAGTACGTAAAATCCCCCGTTTACCTGAAATCAAGACGATTTTCTGGGCATTATGCGTACATAAACCGTACCTTCAAATCGACCTACAGGGCGTTAAAAAAATCGTAGGGAGGTCTTTTTTTTTTAATTACTCGTTAAAAAGAGCACTTTGCGATGGTGTATGTTAGATTTCGATAAAAAAATCACTGTAGTACTGGTACAGGTTCAAACAATCATTTTTTTTCAGTAATTTTTAAGGTCACGCTCAAATACTATTGGTAACTCAACATTAACTCAAATCTTATCTTAATTTATATGGATTTAAAGAGGACAAAATTTCCAAGAAATTAAAAAAAAAAGCGTGTCGATACGATAAATCTAGCCCAAGATAGAAGCATTTGAAAATCGACAAAATTTCGATGAATTTTCTTGTTGCGATAATTTTGTTGCCGAGTGTACATTGATTTTCATGAAGTTACAATCAAATAAAATTATCTTTCACGATTATACTCAAATATGAATTTTATTACGCTTCAGTTATTACTAACGAGGTTATTTATTTTCAAAAACCTGCTTCGAGGTTTAAAAATTTAATTCGCTATATCCTCGGTATCTTCTTTATAAGGTAATCAGTTATAATTAATGGAAATCTACATTTCTTTTTTATTTTTTAGGTAGTTGAAAAAAAAAAAAAGAAAAAGACAATTTTCAAAAAAATGCAGTGGTACGAAGGATGAGTTTTATCGAAACGGAGCTCTGACTTATACAAATATTTTAATTTGGCTACTTGCAGATTTACAGATCAAGGTACTCGCCATCTAACGATAAATCCTGGTTTTAATTATAATTGAATTTTCATGAATTTCCTTCGAAAAAGAAACAAATTGATCAGCTAGTGAATTAGGTCAAACAGGGAAGGTAAAGCATTTTCTGTATTAAATTTTTCCCCTTCGTCTCTCGGTATTCATACACTCATAGTATCTCGACCGTGGACGTCGTGTTACAGAGAACAAAAAATTTTTTAAATTTGCGGTATAAGAAATGAATTCACCACAAAATTAGAGATATGTTATAACGTTACAACTATTCGCTCATTAACTCACCGATTTCCAGATACTTTTGGTGTACAGGGTCGTACTGGTCCCAGGTCAGAGTGCGATATCGATTTCTTTCTTTGCTCGCAGGTAAAATTTCTTTGATCGACGAATCACCCTTGCCGCCATGCTGATGTTGTCCGTCCGAAGCTCCGTTTGGATTTCTGTAACAAGACATAGCGGATTTATCATTATAATGAGCGAGTCTGAGAAGGATTGTGAGAAAAATCAAAGTCGGAAGTTTCGCCACGTTAATGTAACGTATTTCATATAACGGCATGACGTACAAAAAGTCGTAAGTAAACACACTTATTTAATGTATAAGTATTATAGGCAAGCGCAAAGATAAGCTCGAGCTACTTCCAAAGGTGGATAGTTATAATATTTAATACGCGTATTCGTGGGGCGCAGTCACGTGTACAGCAGCCTCGGGGCCTGGCAAGAAAATTACACAGTGTATTAGCGCGTCGCACGAAACTTATACATCTGTATCTATACGATAGTTCCCATATATATACATACATACCGCACACAGCTATATAGCTTCTGTAGCATCAGCAGCCGCCAGCTCGGAGAAATAGATAGACGAGTTAAGTTATAGGGCCGGAGGAGGGCACATGCACCCGCGGCACGTATATATATATACACGTACACACACACACACACACACATATACTCACGCACACACACATACACACATATACTCACGCACACACGGCGGGCTGAAACGAACGCCGTCTAGAGTTAGTCTTGTTTGGCGTTGGTGTGTATAGCTGCTGCTGCTGTAAGTATATTGCTCGCTCTCAACGATGGGAGGAGGATACTAACTTACGATGCACTTGGAAATTCTCAACGATCGATATGTGTATCGAGTCCGAGCGAGAAAACATACTAAAGCGTGTGAACTATTCTCGGGCCGACGAGAAGTATACGCGAGAGGAGAGAAAAATCGAGCCCTATGCTCCAGAATTACGTATCGAAGAAATCGTATACAATAAATTTAGATTCAATCTTTTATCTGCTACAATTTAATTTTTCCAATCAATCGTTCGTCTAATTGCTTTAGTTGAAAGTTCACTTGAATGTTGTTACTTATGTGGGCCTAAGTTTCATACGTGGCGTCGTGAGTACACTATGCGAGATACATGGGAATACTTGTGTCAACATTTTGGTCGAATTTCGCACCGAATGGCAAGTATGGCAGACAAGCAGCGTCACTTTACGCTCCTTACACTCACGATAATATATACTATCGATGCCCATTATGATCGAGGAATCTATAGCACTCTTCAGAATTACGATAATTGGCATCAAATTTAAATGAGAAAGAAATAGATTTTTTGTGGGTTACGAAAAACTAGCTTGCAATATATATGAGGAGCTTATCGCTGCATCTCCCTGTCTTACCAGCCAGAGGAACAACGAAGCGCGCTCCTCGAAATATGATAGTACAAATCTTCATGTCGAATACAATGATTGTCAATTATATACAAATTTTGACCCCATTTGAATTGTTTGTTTGCCTCCACGTATACTTACGTGCAGTACACGTGAGGCATAATATTGAATTTTGCAAAATCGACAGAGAGTCAGGTATAATGGTCGTATAGTAGTAGAAGCTGCTGCTATGCGCTCACCGGAAACATCGTATCGAGGGAGAGAAAATTGACTCGAGCTCGTGCTCTCGATATATATAAAAAACATGACTCCGATACGGATAAGCGCGGGGCGCGCTTACATACATATATAACTTGCCAAGGCTGCACCGGAGCTGCAATTTCAAAGAGCAGATTTTAGCAAAATATGCATCTCTTTTGCTCTCTCTTTCTCTCTCTCTCTCTCTCTCTCTCTCTCTCTCTCTCTCTCTCTCTCTTTATCCTTGCGACGACGATGTCAGTGGATGCATATGTTTAATATGGACGTACGGAGCTACTGTGGCAAGCTCGGCCAATGCCGAGGTATTGCATATTATACCACGCATCGTACAATCAGATATAATATCCGGAGGGATAACGGTGTACAAGTAGGAGGAGAAATTTGATCTGGCCCGATGCTGGGGCTCTACAAGCTCTAAATGTGATCTCGGAATGCGCAACATATCGATATATCGAGATGTAGGAAGAGAGAAAGGATATACCAAGTAAAACCCTACGAGCTTGCAAGCACAAACACCGATACACCTATATGCACTTATGTGTATAAGAGAGGTAAAACCAAACGGCGATATGTGACCAGGCGCGCGCGAGCGACTCTAGAGGGCTCGCACATAATGGGCTGCGCTTAATGTCTCTCCAGTCGGACGAGTGGCCCGGGTCTTTAGAAAATACACACACGCTACTACGTGCATGTATATTTTGTTGTAAGTGTATGTCCGCGCATCGTCGTATGGCGCTCATATGGATGGATGCTTTCGTAAAGCTCGCGCGTTCTCGAGTTTGCATAAAAGTAACCATTATAGCGTACGTCGCACAGTTAACTCCACACACACACACACACACATATAATATGCCCAGGGTAAGATGTGCACAGGTACATGTATGCGCGTCTACGTATAGCATGTATGCTCTGCAATATATATAGACGCGCACATCCACATTAATACAGGCTCGCGTATACGACGCTCATGCGAAACACGATACTCGCATAATTTAGTATAGTACTACGCGCGCGCGGGGCACAGCTCGACGCCGCTGCTGCTGTCGCCGTCGTCGTTGCACCGCAGCCGTCGTCCCCAACATCGCTTGACGACTCGCCCATCGTACATAATATACATATAGCTAGAGCAAGACTAACTTATGTAAACTTATGTACGCTTCGGCCAAGTTTGTCTCTACGCGCGCGCTCGACTCTCTCTCCCTCGCACTCTCGTTGACGCGCAGCCGAGAATCTGCACACTCGAGAGGAAAGAGAGAGAGAGAGAGAGAGACACACACACACAGAGGAGAGAAAGAGGAGTTCTCGGTGCGCTTCGCGCGTGGCTATATGGCTTGAGAGTAAATCACTTTAATCATAATTCTGGACATCGTTGCGCATCTATATTACAAGCAGCTCTTGCGGTATATGTATATCGCAAGATGTGGCCAACGTTTCAATGGATATTGATTAGCGCGGAGAGATGGATGTTACCTACGCTATCGTAGCCAGCGTATAGCTGCTGCTCTGTGCGCTCAATCTCCACCCCCCGTCAGAGCTCGAGCTATATACGCACACGCACACCCTTATATTGTATAATGCAATTTGCTGAGCGAGCGAAGAAATTGATCAAGTCTACGCGGGAAATAGAGAGAGAGAGAGAGAGAGAAAGCAAGAGAAGGAGATTGATTGTTAGCAACGCCCGAGCTGCTGTTAAAGCAATATACAGTTATATTTTACAACATCGCGGCGATGACGTGGCTGAGCTTCGGAACCGGAGCTTGCGACTTTCGTACAGGGCATTTTTGCCTACACCTTCGTGCATACCCACGACGAAACGGTTCGTATTTTATGTTACGTATATAAACCGAGCTCGATCGCGTACACTCGCCCCTCGACCGATGCAGCAGCAGCAGCAGCAGCTTAATTACGACTGTTTGACTTATCCCTATGTAGCATTGTTGTGTAAGAGGATACACGTTGTGGAGGGTGTAATTGAATTTTTTTCACCCTCTCTTGCTTGAAGCCTCTTCCTGTACGAACACGACGGCTAGCTCTTCTCTTGACATTATATACATGGCATGTACAGAGGCTATGCACCTCGGGTAACTCTATGCTCTAGGTATATTGGATTTATCGAAATTTTCCCTCTTCGATCTTTTTTTTGAACATCCCTAGATTCGTTTATTGGATAACACAAAATTGTTTTTTGCCACGTCCGCGCGCGCACGAGGAAAAAACAAAACAAAGCGCATTGTTTAAGCGTGGCAAAAGCTAAAAGTACACATATATCGTACAATCTGGGAGCAAAAAAGAGAGAAGAAGATTTTTTTGCCATCCCCCTCTTCATCTTCTGCTTCAACTGATTCGTACGCAGAGCTTTGTTTTTATCCAATTATCGAACGTACACGAAGTTGCAATGTGCAGCAGCAGCAACTGAGGAAGCAGTAGCGGCAGTTGTAACCAACGTAGCAGCAACCCCTTACCGTTATCGCTCGATAATAAAATATGAAAATGCTGGGGCAAAAGTTTACGTTTATACACGCAGTCCTATAGAGGCGGCAGCGGCGATCTCGAGGATCGGGCGCGCCGTGTTCTATATATAATACAGCGCAGCGAATTTCATTGAATCGGCGCTATAACAAGGTGAAACACTGCGCGGCGAGAATACGATAGCTGCGCGCGGTAAAAGTCCTTAGAAAATAACAGATAATGCCATTATCACGTGCGCGCCAATTTTTCCCTATATCGACGCTGTCTACGTTATATGCCATATCCAGGCAAAAACTCTCTTTCTCTATTGCCCTTCCGCTCGCTTTTTCGACCTCCTACGCTTCACAGCGTAGGAGCTTCACAGTGTCACTGCCGCGCAAATATTGAACAAAAAGCTCGAAAGGCACACTCGCACACACCTATATACCCACACCCACACACACACAGACGCGGAAGACATTTATACGCGATAAACTCGCTCGAAATTTAATACCGGTGGCTCGCAAGTTATGCACGACGTGTAAGCGCGCGCGCGCTGGGCCAAGCGCCCGGCCCTGAAATGAGCTATCGAAAGCTCCCATCGTGCCAGTATAGCGCGCGAGCTTGCATTCGCGTATATATATGTACGCGTGAGCCGGGCGTAGCCGAGGATCGTTTCTAATTTTCGGGATGGTTTTCACTCGACGCTCTATCTGTAGAGTCATAGAGAGATAGAGTGAGAGAGGGAGAGGCCAAGTTGAAATTAGAGTGAGAGAGAGCAAAGTGGCGACGACGATAGCCTGAGAGTCAACGAATGGCATGCAACCCCTGCACTTTAACCCTGCACACCCTCCCCCTTGTTCCGAATATGAAGCTTTTTCGCGGATATCAGCAGGAAATTTCTGCGGACAAGAATGTGTGTTAACGACTGGCCCTCCTTCTCCGGATTTGCCTCTGCTTCCCCACGCGTAATTTAGATTTTCTCGGGCGATGAGTGCACTACTGCCTTTCCAACTCTCTTTCCCTCTCGCTCGCTCTTTCACTTTTTTTTCTTCTTGCC